TTTGAAGGGGAACTTCCATCTAATCGCACAAAGCTTTATCAGATTATTTTTCGATGCTTGCTAAGGCGATATTGCTCCCGAAATGGCCTGAACGTTCATCAGAATGCCGACAAAGCCCTAGAGAATCAATTTAAAGAGTCCATACTTGTACTTGGGGAGCTAGCGTGGAATTGTCTTCTAGAAGACCGCCGTTCGTTTTCGGAAGAGGAACTGGACAAGCTAGAACATTCGAGGACCCGTGTGAGAAGATTTCCAGCAATCAAATTGGGCCTTGTTTTCATGGAAGCCAGTTCAAGGCTAAGTCATGAGCCAAGGCATCAGTGTCATTTTCTTCACAAAACGTTTCAAGAGTTTTTAGCTGCCTTCTACCTAGCAAACGAGCTCTTGACGAACCAACCAAACCCTACTTTAGGCAAGAAGGATGTTTGTGAAAAATACAGACAAGTATTTTTTTTTGTAGCTGGCATATTGGGTATGGAAGGAACGGTGTTTTTCAAACAGATAGGAACGATTCTGAGAGGACACTGGAACTGGCGTTTTCCTGATGAAGACTCTAAGTTCTTACTTGACCTTTTAGAAGAGAGTGGTGCTGCTGATCATTTTGGCAAAGTTGTCTGCCCTCTTATTTCATTACCAATTAATTTTCAAGGGGGTAAGGAAGAGCGGTCTTGCCTGAGGTTGATACGATATGCTTATGAAGGCGCCATGCTTGAAAGTGATTCAACACCAGTACTAACCACACTTAGCCTGTGTAATGTACAGTCTTTTAATAGAGACGATGTGCATAATTTCCATCGAATTCTCGAAGACAGTCAAACTCTCACAGAGCTTGTCATTTATAAAATCGAGAACATGTCCCATGATATTGCAGATCTGTTCGCTGAGAGTGTGTCGTCAAGCACTTCATTAAGAAAAGTCACGCTGAAACTGTTGGACATGAGTACTGAGAGGTGCACCTACAATGCTAGTGCCTTGTTATCGGCTTTTTCACAATTGAACTGTGTTGCGCTTGAATTCTTTTGTATTCTAAACAACACTGTTGCAGAAGCTGTAAAAGTGTTATTAAAAACATCACTAAGATCTCTCGTGCTTACTGTTTATGGGGATCTGGATGACTGTTTAGTGTCGTCAGTTAGTGAAGGACTTGCAGAAGAAACCGGGCTGGAGTCTCTTAGTCTTGTTGTTCATGGAAAACTCAGCAACCCTGGAATTGTAGCACTGCAGAATGGTGTTCTACGAAATAGAACTTTGCACTCTTTAGAGTTACAGGTGTATGGAGAAATCCCAGAAGCGTGGATGACAGCTGTTGCTACCCTACTGGCAGCCAATAAGTCATGGAAGTCTCTTATTATTCATCCAAGTGTATGCGGGAAAATCAAACATGAAGAAAGTTTGCTGCTCTTTCCGATTCTAGGTGATGCCCC